ATGTTTATAAACATGAAACATTGCTATTGCATGAGAATCACTGAAGAACTGCTCCGTCAATCACGCGAAACGCAAGAGAAATTCAACGACGGCGAAATATACAGCTGTGTTACACACACGCAGCTAGGGCCTGCATAGCTCCCAAATCCCATTGGTTGATAAAAGATCACGTACCTCAAACTCCTGTTTTATGGTGAATTGGGATTCTAACCCTAACCCTAACCCTATAAACGAAAAAAAATTATTTGTTGTAAATAAATCATGTAAATATGGATAAACATAGAAAAATACAGAAAACAAGAAAATAATGAAAAAAACAGATGGGATTCGATCCAACGACATTTCAGCCATGTCGTCTCTGCTTTAGGCGTTCAGCTATTGAGCCATTGTGTTTTTGTGTTATGGATGTGCCTTGCCAACACTGTGGCGTCATTGAGGAGTTTGAGGCACGTGATTTGTATCAACCAATGGGAATTCGGAAGGTCACGTCACCGAGTAAACATCGTGAGTGGCATGCGGTGTGCGGTCATTGAGGTAATTAGGGTTATTTAAGTTTTATTATAGTTTTTCGTGCGCTTTTAAATGCCAAAAATTCTCAGCGATGCTACGATGACATGCTTACCAGCAAACGCTGTGTCAAGTCTGTCACTGTTGCCCACGAATTCAGATTAGACGAATTCCCAGTGAATTCCCATATGTAATTCCCTGTTTTGTATTAAATTGCCAGTAGGGGGAGCGTGCCGCTGCATATATGAACTCAAACCTTCGGTTTGCACAAGGACGGGGCGTCCGGGGGCACCACTAGTCGAGAGATGTAAAGACTTTTAAAAACAGTCCCAATGCAGAGAAAAGAATATGATGGCATTTACAGCCAGTACTTTATCTTTACATTAGTTACATTAGTTAGTACTATAGCCAGTGCTACAGCCAGTATAACCGACAGAATTACTGACAATACTATGGCGAGTACGTGCGCGTGTATATTTGCGTGCGCGCATGTGTGGGTGTGTGCGCGTGAGCGCGAATGTGTGTATGCGGGCTCGCGTGTGGCAGTGTGTGTACGTGCATGCGTGCATGCGTGTGTGCATGCGTGTGTGCGCGTATATGTGCATGTGTGCGCGTATATGTGTGTGTGCGCGTATATGTGTGTGTGTGTGTGTGCGCGTATGTATGATGTGTGCATGTAGGTTTGAAGAATTTGTGTAAGTGTGCGCGTGCGAACGCCTTATTTCGTGCAATCGATCTCGCCCGCTATCCGGTCCCGCTCTAATCCGCTCACTGAGCTTACGCGCGAATTGCCTACACCGCAGCCTGTCATTCTGTAAACAATATATGAAGTATGCGGTTGGCAGACGAAGATGCAGGCTCTGCTGCCCATTATTGCAGACGGTGGGCGAGCATATCGTGATGTTTTATCGTGTCGTTTCAGCGCGGATGCATTGAAAAAGACACGTGCCGAATTGTGCTGTATGATTAACTTTCGTATGCGCTCGGTGAAAATATGGTAGTAGAGCATTTTGACCCGGAAAAAAATGGTATAAAGACGATTTTTACACCAGATGAGCAGGATGTGTCATAGAACAACATATCCAAAATTTTTATGAGTGTTTGAATATTGTGCACTTTTTTGCATGTTTTGTAATGGGAAATGAGCATGGGCAAGGCTCGTCAAGTGATATAGTAGGGCAGATATGTGAAAAAATCGTGGGTTTTGTGGTAAAAGCACCAAAATTGGCATGAATGAAGTTAAGGGTATACTAAATGATTTTAGATAATAGCCTCGTTCACACGAGACCTCGTATTTATGAAATACGGCATTTGCGAAATACCGAATCTGAGACAAATACGCGGCCGAGCGTTCACACGCTGATTCGCGGCTCCAGAAATACGGTATTTGCGAGCTGCGAGCTGCTTTAAACAATCAAGCAAACAATGCGAAATAAACAATGCAATGCGCACCAACTGCCGATCGGCTTATAGCCGCGTTTACACGTAGCAAGAAATCCGGTATTTAGCGTTCACACGAGGCAAAATGCGCGGTCCTAGAAATACCTGCGGGTACCCGCTGCGCTGGGTAAAATCGTGCTACTACTTCATACTACTATAAGTTGGACACAATAGGAACATTGGTAAAAATCGAACAATATAACATTGGCCACAATATCAATATTTACAATCAGTGTAATAAGATAATAAGCATGGGGAAAACTGTTACGTATGACATTTATATGACAAAGCAACCCAACTTAGAACCCCTGGAACATAATAGTAATATGGGTGGAAATGAGAAAAGTTATTATAACAGCATGTACGAATGGGTTGCAGTTTTCATTTGAAAACCTCTTGATAACAATGGTTTGCGTGTTATTGCCTGGTGGAAATATGTAGAGATTGCTGGCGTCTCAACTGTTGAGCTCACCACGTACAGCTATCCATTGTCAGATTGTAGAGTGAATACACGAAATTGGGTATATGAGACAGATAGAGACAGGCTAGCGAGTGGAGTCTGTGTCCATGTGGATATTGTCTAGTGAACGCTTGGCGCGCAACCATGCACATTGAAATAAGGAATTTTTTCTACTGAATCAGAAAAGGCATAGCTTTCGAATGGTACAAGGATTCTGAAATCGTAGCATGAATAAAAAAAGTCGATATATAGTATAACAGACCAGCCAGCGAGTGGGGGAAATTTGTAATTATAAAGAATGTTTTGACTCCGGTACGCGTCTTTATGGCGGTTGATGTTTTGAGCAATGTAACCCTCAAACATATAATCTCATACTAACTATAGTGAATCTCTATAAATATTTACAAATCAAGTGTAATCAGATAATAAGCAGGTAAAAAACGGTTACGTATGACATTTTATATACAGCACAACCCAAACGTAAGAACCCTGGAACATAATAGTAATATGGTGGTGAAATAAGAAAAAGTTATTCTAAACAGCAGTGTACGAATGGGTTGCACTTCTCATTTCAAGAGCCTCTTGATAAAACAATGCAGTCGTAAGCCACAGGCACTTTAGAAGCGTTTCAACTGTAAAAACACGCCGCCGCCATTGCGCGCACACTGACACAGTAAATTTATCCTGGTTGTGCTCTTTTAGTACCGTTTCGGTTTCACAATACCAACAGCTGATGGAATGAGTCATCGATTTTTTCTGTGTGTGGCAGCACTGTACAGTCAGTGCTGACAAGTGCGAAAGATTGACGAATTGAGGGGGTTTCACGGATTTTTCGGTGTGAGTTTGACGGTTTGGCAAGTTTTTTTTTCAGCTAGGAACACTCCCCGGGTATGAAGAGATGGCCTGTGAAAAGTTGCATCCAGATCGCTTGGGTCGGTCTTTGGCCGCCTATAGGGAAGATACATACATACATACATTACATACATACATACATACATACATATCATACACTACATACATTGACATACATACATACATACATACATACTACATACATACATAGCATACATACAGTACATAATACATACATACATACATACTACATACATACATACATACATACATCATACTATACATACATACATCATACATATCATACATAACATACATACAATACCTACATATATGACATACATACATACATACATCCATACATACATACATCATACAATAACATATCATACATACATTACATACATACATACATACATACATCTAATATATATTTGAGTTATATATTTGAGTATATTTATGTGTCAGTGTGCGCGCAATGGCGGCGGCGTGTGTTTACAGTTGAAACGCTTCAAGTGCCTGTGGTTACGACTGCATTGTTTTATCAAGAGGCTTTCAAATGAGAAGTGCAACCCATTCGTACATATGCTGTTAGAATAACTTTTTCTTATTTACACCATATTATATTATGTTCCAGGGGTTCTACGTTGGGTTGTGCTGTCATATAAATGTCATACGGTAACGTTTTTTACCATGGCTTAATTATCTGATTACACTGTTTGTAAATATTTATAGAGATTCACTATAGTTTAGTATGAGTATTATATAGTTTGAGAGGTTACGATTGCCTCCAACATCAACGCATAAACGACGCGTACCAAGTGAGTAACACTTCTTTTATAATTACAAATTTCCCGCACTCGCTGGCCTGTCCTGTATACTATATATCTCACTTTTTTTTATTCATGCTACGATTCTAGAATCCATATTTGTACCATTCGAAAGCTATGCCTTTTCTGATTCAGTAAAAATTCTTTTTATTTCAATGTGCATGTTGCGCGCCAAGCATTCACTATAGAATATCCAATGGACACAGACCCCACTCCGCTGCCTGTCTCTATCTATACTATATACCCAATTTCGTTTATTCATCTTACGATTCTGACAATCGGATAGCTGCACTGTGTGAGCTCAACAGTTCGAGACGCCAGCAAACTCTACATATTTCCACCAGACAATAACTCGCAAAACCATTGTTTATCAGAGTTTTCAAAATGAAAACTGCAACCCATTCGTACATGCTGTTATATAACTTTTCCTCATTTCCACCATATTACTATTATGTTGCCAGGGTGTTACAGTTCGGTTCTTCTGTCATATAAATGTCATACCGTAACAGTTTTCCCATGCTTATTATCTTATTACACTGATTTGTAAATATTATATTGTGTGCAATGTTATTATTGTCCGATTTTACCCAATGTTCCTATTGTGTCCAATTATTAGTAGTATGAATTAGTAGCACGATTTTACCCAGCGCAAGGCGGGTACCCGCAGCTAGTACATACATACATACATACATACATACATACCATACATACATACATACAATATCATACATACATACATACATACATACATACATACATACATACAACATACATACATACATACATAACATCACATACATACATACATAACCTAATACATACATACATACATACATACATACATACATACCATACATACATACATACATACATACATACATATACATACATACATACACACATACCATACATACATACATACAATACACTACATCACATACATACATACATACATTACACATACATACATACCATAATACATACATACATGTACATACATACATACATACATACATACATACTACATACATACATACACACATACATTACATACACATACATACATACTACATACATACATACATACATAGAATACATACACCTACATTTACATACATACATACATACATACATACATACATACATACACTACATACATACATCTACATACATACATAACATTACATACCCATACATACATTACATACATACATACATCATGACATACATACATAGCATACAGTACATACATACATACATACAGTACACTACATACATACATACATACATACATACATACACATACATACATACATCATACATGTACATACATACCTACATAATACATACATACATACATACTAATACAAAAAAAAAAAAAAAAAATCATACTCATAATACATACAATACATACATACATACATACATACATACATACATACATACATCCATA